CACGGGGTGTGTGGCCTAATATGCTAATGGGCTGCACTGTCAGGGTGTGGCCTAATATGCTAATGCGTTTCTGCTGTTGGATGTGGCATATTATGTTAATGAGTTCCTGCTGGGCTTTTTCTACAAAAAAAAGCCCTGCACAAATGAATAAATTGGGGGGAGGACAGTGCAGAGGGAATGCATGCAACTGTGAAGTCAACCCTTAAGGCTTGACGGTTCAGATTCTCCAGCACAAAAAGGGCCACCAAATAATCTACTTTCAATCAACTTTCAGTGCACTTTCCAACTGGATTTTACGGCTAGAAAAAAGAAAAGGGTGGGGGGGGGGGGGGGGGGACAGTGCAGAGGGAATGCATGCAACTGTGAAGTCAAGCCTTAAGGCTTGACGGCTCAGATTCTCCAGTACAGAAAGGGCCACCAAATAATCCACTTTCAATCAACTTTCAGTGCCCTTTCCAACTGGATTTTACTGCGTGAACCTACGAAATCCAGTTGGAAAGTGGATTATTTAGTGTGTATGATTGCGGCCACAGTCTCTAAGGTGCTACTGGACTCAAATCCAGCTGTTCAACTGCCGACCAACATGGCCACCCTCTGAAACTGAAGTTTCACAAGCACAAGGCACAAAACAGCAGCCCTGGCTGTGTCAGATTTCTACACACCATCTCCTAGCCATGACGACTAAATGGAACATCCATGGTCACAGGCAGTATGCCTCTCAATACCTGTTGCTATGGGACAACAGCAAGAGAGACTATTTATTCCCTTCCAACACTGCTTTTGGCCTTTTGCCAGCATCTGGTGGGTCAATGCATGAACCACGCTGCTGCTGACCCTCTGGTCTGATGAAGCAGGGCTCCCTCTAGCTAAACCCTTCAGCTCTGGGTGAGACAGAGGTTACAAAAGGCAAAAAGCAATGGAGAGGTGTCGAACTTGGCCTAGACAGCATGTTTAACGGAAATTATCAAAAGCTGGAAAGTTGTGGGAAGAACCCACTCTCCTGAGAGCATTTGAATGCATTAAAATTGCTTATTCAAATGCAATTTGTGGGGAAGGAGGAAACAAATTTAGTAAAAACAATAAACCAAATTCTAAGCATTGGCTTTTGTAGCCTTCAGCAGGGCTTTGTGGGAAACCAGAAACAACATACAATTGAGGCTGGAGGCAGATGGTCATTTCCCCCAGAGGTACTGAAAATCCTCTTTAGTTTGTTCAACTCTGCGAGGCACGTTTTTGAAAGTACAAGGGTTCACAGAAGCGTGCCACTTTCAGCCCTGTGACAAAAATCTATTCTCTCCAGCTTGCTAAAAAGGGATCTAAAACCCACATTTAGTAAATCCCTCCCCAAAATCTTTTTGTGTGTGTGTGTGCTAAAAATGGTTTAAGGAAGAAAAAACATAGCGTAACACCACTAATCCAATCTAAAATAATGCCTGTTGATAGAAAAAGTTAATACTGATCAGGGCTTACAACTTCCTAAGGGCTTTGGGGCACAATTTAGCACACTTAGCCCTGGGTTAGAAAAGTCACAACAAAGCAGCTAGGAGGGTCGTGCCTTCATCCCTTGGTGACTTTACAGCGGCCTTGCTTTTTTGAGAGTCAAACTGGTCTCCTTCCCTCAGCGGTAACAATCAGTCTTGGTTAGCAGGCCTGTTCTGTATTTGCCAGCAGTACAGGCTGCTTTCTGCTTCAAGGCACTGTCCAGTAGACATTCCAATCAAGAGGGGGCTTGTCATCCCGCCTCCATCGTCAATGGCAGCACAAACAAGATCTAGGGCAAGAGACGTCCTTAGGAGAAGGTGGACAGACGGATAACCCTGAACTCTGTCAGCAGCGCAACCGTCAAGAACGCCAAGTAGTAGACAATGAGACAACAGCCATATCCTCGGCTCAGGTGGAAACACTGGGCAGGCACCGCGAGGAAAGAGAACACCAGGCTAAGACCCAGAGCTCCAGCCAAGATCCACACCAGGAGGCCATCTGAGTCCAGCTGTAAAAGGAGATGGGGAGGAAATAAATCAGCACTGTCTCCTTCTTTCACATGTTTCCCGTGTACATGCACGCATGCGTAAAGTGCCATCCAGTCACTTCCGACTTATGATGACCCTAAAAACTAATTACCTCTGAAACGTCCTCTTGCTAACAACCTTGCTCAGGTCTTCCAAACCCAGGGCCTTTGTGACTTCCTTGATTCAGTCTAACTATCTCATGTCGGGTCTTCCTCTTCTCCCGCTGCCTTCAATGTTGCCTAGTATTATTGTCTTTCCCAGGGACTCTTGTCTTCTCAGCCTGATTCCTGGCAGTGTTTAAACATGGCTGGAATTACATGTGCAGGGGCTCAAGTCTGCCAGCTGTGCATGTGAAGCCCTAACTGACCTCTGCATGGGTCAGTGCTCAAGCTCTAGAAACAGGGCATTTTCCCTGGACTAAAGCAAAGAGGAGCACTGGGACTTAGGGATCAGCTTTTGTGGGAGAGAGCCTGCTCCACCGGAATTAGTGGGGTAAAAAAACCATGAACTGCAAGAAGTTCGGTCAGCGACAGGCTGAATGCTCCTCTCACAAAAGCTCCTCTTGTATGCAGACAAACGGTACCCTGAGAATTTCAGTTCTCTTAAAACACACACAAAACATGTCAAGTCAGCAGCTCCTCCCCTAATCTCTTTAGTGAAGGGACTCTGTGGCAAGGAAAACGCACTCTGCACTTTCTCAGGGGCAATAGTTATTTGAGATATTGTAGGGCTATGGTCCTGGGATTAAAAACAAAACAAAAAACAAATGCTGGGTCTGAGTGTTTCCAGAAATTAACCTCGAACGAGAACAAATGGGTTGGTTAATAGGAAGGGTGCTGCCCTCTACTCATCCCCCGGCCTCTGAACCCAAACCTGTCCAAGGAGCAGCACTTCTGGCAATGCTGCAGAGGTGAGGAAAGCCTCTTGGATCCAGTGTTGTTTCCCATAGGGATGCCAACCTCCAGGTGGGGCCCAAGGATCTCCTGGAATGACAGCTCATCTCCAGTCTACAGAGACCAGTTCCCCTGGAGAAAATGGATGCTTTGGAGAGTGGATGCTATGGCACTGTACCCCACTGAGGCCTCTTTCACCCCCAGGTTCCACCTCCAAATCTCCAGGAATTTCCCAGCGTAGAGCTGGCAACCCTACCCCCCCCGCCCTGCCGGTGGCCACAGTGGGCCTGGCAACCCTCTTTCCCAGAGCCTCTTTCTCTACTCTCTCATCCTCTTCTACAGAAGCTGGGGGGGGGGGTGTTGCTTGGTAACAAGAACTGCCTTTACCTTCACTACCAGTTTGGTGTTTGTCATCTGCAGCAGGCAACCAAGTCCAACTCCAACAAGCATATCTGCAGGAAAGCTCAGGAAACATAACTTGACTAGAAAAAGAATGAAGTTGGAGGGTAGAGATTGATGGCGCCCTCAAAGGCAAACCCCAACCCAACCCCCCACCCCAAATCCAATGAATGATCAGTGCCCTGTGAAGTGTGGCAGCTGAGCAGAGAGATCCCCATTCTCTCGCTGGATCAAGATTCAGACCTATTTCTGATGTACACCTAAGAAACCCAGATGCCACGAACTGTCCTAGAAGAGGCATGCTCCCTTCTCTCCGATACACAAGAGAACACTACTTCTACAATGGTTCCTACAACATTCATGTGCATCAGTATACTATACACATCATCTAAAAACGCTCAACATTCATGTGCATCAGTCAGTATACTATACACATCATCTAAAAACAAAAAATGTGTTTTTGATAAAGAACCATGTTTTAATGCACATGAGAATATATGCAGATTTCCTCAGTCCCTCATATAACCTACTATTTGGGTGACAGCAATTTTTATTTTTTGTGATTTGTAATTATTTCAATTTCAAATTACAAACATAACATAAGCAGTGTTCCCTCTAAGCTAAGTTAGTGTGAGATAGCTCACAGTTTTTTAGCCTCTGGTTCACACATTTTTGTCTCAGCTCAGGAAGGATGGCTCCAGCGCCAACTAATTTATGCAGTAGTCCAATCACTCGCTCACAACTTTAATGCCAGTAGCTCACAAAGTAGGATTTTTGCTCACAAGACTCCACAGCTTAGAGGGAACATTGAATTGAGCAGTACATTTTTACACTCTAAATCATCCAATCATGTCAAACTTACTTAAATTAACTTTTAAATTTTTCATTTCTTTTTAAGCAACTTTATTCTATCTTAACTGCCTATCTGTTAACATTTTTATTACGACACATATTATCTAAAGCCTTCTTTCTATCATCCTTTATTTGATTTCCTTTTTTTCTTGATTTTCTTTTATATAATTGAAATTTCCCCCCTCATTTTTCTTGAAATTCTGAGATTGGTCTATTGTGTATGAAGGGTGTTAATTTTGCCATAGTCACATATTCGTTTATTTTATTTCTCCATTCCTTCAGGTCTGGGCATGCCAGTGCTTTCCAGCAACTTTTAGATCATGAGTGTGGAGAAACGCCCTTGTGAGCACATGCGGAGCACACACAGATATGGCTGAAGAAGCCCCTTTGTATGCTCCAGCTTGCCCCAAATCACTGAAGGATACTGAAGATAATGCCTCCAAAGCAAGCAGAAAAGGCCATACGTGGGTATCCCTGCCGAGCCATGGTGAGGTCCGAGAAAGTGTCTGCAAAAAAGAGGAAGGAGAAAAGAAAATTAGTAGTACCACTACTACAAAGCATCTACTGATACAGATTTAGTACAGAATAAAGGGCAAGATGATATGATAGTATTGAGCAGTACTTTGTGAATATTCAAAACACTTCACATACAAAGTATTGGATCCCATGAACAAGTTCAGCAAGTGAATCTTGTCCCCTTTCTCTCTGCAATGCTCTGAAAAGCTAATCTTTTTTTTTGGGGGGGGGGGAGTATTTTGTGAGTGTGTGTGGAAGTCATGGTGACTTCTGGCAACCCCTACTGGGGGCTTGGACATTTCAGAGAGGTGGCTTGATTTTGCCTGCCTCTGCATCTCAGCCCTGGTATTCCTTGAAGGTCTCCCTTCCAAGTACTTGCCAGGGTCTGCCCTGCTTCACTTCCAAGATCTGATGAGATCGCGCTTGCCCAGGTCAGGGCTGAAAAGCTGTTCTTGAAGATCAAGGGACTCTAGTAACAGGATGGGCTGCAGTTCAAGGGGAAATTGGCAGAAGTCACCCTCTTCTTGCCCTATCAAGACACAGCTTGTGTGGGAGGACTATTTCTACTGATCTTCCCTTCTCACAGCAATGCACTACCCCTCAATTTGTTCCTTAGGAGCAAGTGTGATGGCTTCCAGAAGCTGCTGGGGAAAAATGAGATCCATCTGGTTCATGAACATCTGGACACCAGGTCTACTGCTCATAAGAACTGATCCTGGTTCCTTGGACCCAACCCATTATCTCATAACCATCACAATAACCATACAATGAAGGTCGGTAGTACCATCCCCATATTGGGACAGAGAGTTTATGGGCTGCCTATGTTGCTGTCCCCACAATACTAACCCCCTATGCTGTTCCCCCAAGCCAACAGCGTCAGCCCAAGGACAGTGTTGCTCAGACGGAAGACCACACCCAAAGTCCTCAAGATGTTCACCACTTCTGTGGCAGCAGCATTGATCCACATGGCACTGACTAGGAAACCCAGGAAAGCAAAAATCTGTTGCAAAAGAAAACAAACAAGGCAGGTAGCGAAATCTCAGTGAGGAACTTGCAAAGTTCTTTCCTTGCACCACTTCAAGTTCCTTTGGCTGCAGCCTGCAGCTGATGGGGCAGCCAATTGCTACCCAACTAAGTTCCTTTCTTCATTGAAGTGAAAGGTAACGATATAAGACAAGACCTCATGGAAGTTAAGAAGTGAAAGGTAACGATATAAGACAAGAGCTAGGTCCAGGGTTGGGTCAAGTCCAAGCTAGTAAACAGTCAACAATAGTCCGTAGAAGCAGGAGAAGACATTAGTATGCAAAAAACCAAGAATGATGAACCTGCAAAGCATTCTCTCTGTCCCTCTGCCCAGAGGTTACACCTTTCCTGGGACTGAACATGGAATCCCTACATACATAAATACACAAATTCTATCATTCAGCTATGTCTTCTTTCCCTCCTTGCCCCCTACACAAACCTTACTGCTACTAGTTAGCCCATTTCCCTTTCCAAATAATTTCAGCACTTCTGTGAGTCAGTCGCCACATCAGGAACAGTTATGTTTGGGAGTGGAGCTATTTCTTTTCAAAAGAAAATCCAGGCTCTGATGAGAATCCTGCAGGCTGTCCCAGAGCCAGGCAGTGAAAGATGGAGAGGACTGCACAGCCCTTGGCTACCTGTCTCCCTTGGTTTTTCATCTATACATATCTTCCTTTGCGTGCTAGTTTCCCCTATTAGTTGGGAGGGGGAGAGGCAGGGACAATTAGCTGGTACAGAGAACATAAGAACATAAGATAAGCCAAAATTGGATCAGGCCAATGGCCCATTCAGTCCAACACTCTGTCACACAGTGGTCAAAAATACCAGGTGCCATCAGGAGGTCCAGCAGTGGGGCCAGGTCACTAGAAGCTCTCCCACTGTAGCCCCCCCCCCCGCAAGCACCAAGATGACAGAGAATCACTTGCCCCAGACTTTGTGGCTAATAGCCACTGATGGATCTCTGCTCTATATGTTTATCTAATTCCCTCTTGAAGCCGTCCATGCTTGTAGCTGCCACCACCTCCTGTGGCAGTGAATTCCATGTGTTAATCACTCTTTGGGTGAAGAAGTACTTCCTTTTATCTGTTCTAACCTGACTGCTCAGCAATTTCATTGAGTGCCCACAAGTTCTTGTCTTGTGAGAAAGGGAGAAAGTACTTCTTTCTCGACCTGCTCTATCCCATGCATAATTTTATAAACCTCGAACGTGTCACCCCTCAGCCGTCGTTTCTCCAAGCTAAAGAGCCCCAAGCGCTTTAACCTTTCTTCATAGGGAAAGTGTTCCAACCTTTTTATCATTCCAGTTGCCCTTTTCTGCACTTTTTCCAATGCTATAATATCCTTTTTGAGGTGTGGTGGCCAGAACTGTACACAGTACTCCAGATGAGGTCGCACCATTGATTTATACAGGGGCATTATGATACTGGCTGATTTGTTTTCAGTTCCCTTTCTAATAATCCCCAGCATAGCGTTGGCCTTTTTTATTGCAGTTGCACACTGTGTCAACATTGTCAGTAAGTTATCTACTACAACTCCAAGATCTCTCTCTTCGTCAGTCTCTGCCAGTTCGGACCCCATCCGAGAGATAAGGTAAGCATGAAAAGGGTAGGAAATTGGGAGCATCTGAGTTACCTGAGCAAGACCCAGGCTTAAGTATCCTCCCCACCTCTTTTTGCAGGTATTTGAAGCCCGTGCTCTTGGTCCTACTCTTAGCCCATGGCTCACAATCATGCTGGCAGAAACATCACCAGCCCAGGACAACCTCTCAGCTCATCAGCTGCTTCAAGGGTATACTGGGGACCTGTGGACTTTAAGTCTTGATTTAAATTTTATTGTTGGGTGTGTTTATTTTGTAAGCCACTTTCTGAATCCCTAAAGTCAGTGAAAAGCAGGGTAAAAAACATGTAACTTAAACGAGGGATAGGTTGCCCACAGTCGGAGCCTTACGTGCACCTACTGTTCATGATGAAGCATTTTAAGTTTCACAGGACAGGTTATGTACTAGAGGATGAAGGATTCCTAAAACACACCCATCCCACTGATGTTTGACCACTGATGCCAGACATTTAGGGGAGTCAAACAGTAGGGGCAGGCCTTGTGCTCACAATGTGATATCGGGGTGGTTCTTCATTCCTTGTAGTGCAGAAGACAATCACAGCCAAGAGGGCCCCTGTTAGGATCACCACACCCCATACTGGGAAGACAGCCTGGATCTTGTAAAAGCCATCTGTAAGAGACGCAGAAAAGAGATAAAAATGTGGCTGTCCATCAGAGAGGGTAGAACTGCTCCCATTAAGAGAAAATTAGAAGACCTCTTTTCTTATAAAGCTTTAAAAAGACAGATTCGTAACAGGACAGGCCCATCAACAGGTACTAATTGTGATGGCTCAATAGACCCTCCATGTTCAGATGCAGTGCACCTCTGAGTTCCAGTTGCTGGAAAGAAAGAACGGGGGGGGCGCTTTGGCCTCTATGCTCTTGCTTGTCAGCCTGCCAAGTCATCTGATGCAGCCAGAACATAAGAAGAGTCCTGCTAGATCAGATCAATGGTCCATCTAGTCCAGCATCCTGTCTCACACACTGGCCAACCAGTTCCTCTGGGCAGCCAACAACAGGGCATAGAGGCTGAGGCCTTCCCATGATGCTTCCTCCTGGTTCTGGGATTTAGAGGCTTAGTGCCTCTGAATGTGGAGGTTCCCCTCAGCCACCACTCAGTAGAAGTGGACAGCCATCAGATCGGAACAGGAGATGAGAAAGAGTGGTGACAATCTGTAGACAGCCACTGAAGTGTGAATCTAGTTCTGTCAAAAGAGAAACTGGAACAGGAGATGAGAAAGAGTGGTGGCAATCTGGAGTGTGAATCTAGTTCTGTCAAAAGAGAAACTTTCCCTAGCTATACACACGAGAAAATAAAAGAGGAATGTTGTACCTGCCTGCAAGCTGTTTTGAAAAACCCAGATTTCCAGGAACAGCTTGTTTCTTCTGGAGAGAGGGATAGTAGAGCCAGGGATCTAACATGAGTCACTGGTGATGACCATGCACACGGCTTTGCGTGAGCCCCATGTGCAAACGGTCAGCAGGGGCAGCCCTGCCAGAAAACACAAGTACTCACATTCTCCGGACTTCAATGTGAGAACACAAACAACGGGGGCAGTGACCAAGTGCAGGCAGTTCAGAGGTCGCTTCCAGTTTTGGTCCTCCCTGTCAGGGTCCACAACAGGGACTGTCAGCAGCAGCAGCAACTCCACAGGCAACTGAGGAGACAAGGGTGAGAATTATCCATGGGACACAGAGGGAGGCGGCTGCCTTGAGAGCTTGTGCTGGACAATCTAGTGACAAGGTCCCTTAGCCTCTCATACCTTCAAGAATTAGGGTTCCAGAACTCCCAAAACACTTTTTAAAATTCAGATGTCACAATATATAGAACAAACTCATAAAACCATCTCCCAAGCCACTCTTTAAAAGGGCGTCTAAGAGGCAACCCTAATTGCATAGCAGCATATTTTATGTAGCATTTACTACATTTTCAGCTGGTGTTTCCTGGTGTTCATGTAGGCCCACTATTTTATGGGAAATTCCCAAGGCTGCAACTCTATTAAGAGTAGATTAAGGCTATCACAATGACTATGGTTCTCAAAAAACAACCTGCTCCTCACAACCAGAGAGCCTGGCCAGGAGATCATCTCTTCATCAGCTGAGAGCAGACGCCAACAATGGGAAGAAAAGTGATCACCTCAGGAAATGGCTGACTGTTAATCAGTCCACCCAAGCTCTGTATCTGAGGCAATCATGTCTATACATTAGTGATTCAGCCTCCTCTTTTTCAAGACCTGTGAGGAGCATCTCCCCTCCTGGGAAACGAGACCCAAAGTATTACCTCACAGAGGGGAAATATTGGTAACTGTGACACAAGGGCTATTTCACCAAAATTCTTCCCTCTGGTCAAGAAAAACAAACTGGTCACGACACTTACTTCAGACTTTAAACACCTCAAACCAGATGTGTGAAATTGGGCTTCTGATACTTATGTGACAATAGCCTCCTCAAACAGGAACTATCCATTTCCTTAAGAGCTACCTCCCTTAGAAGAATGTGTGTGGGAAAGAGACATGTTGCAGTCAAACTCCCAGTGATGAAACTTTTAAAGTCAGGCCACAGTGAGACAGCCGTAGTTACACAGTGGCCCATATGCCACAGTGCCTTTTTCAGGCAAAGCTGACTCTATGCCCATCGTTGCAGAACATATCCCCCCCCCCCCCAATTGTACAGGCTGGCAACCTTATCTTCCCAGAAACAGAACTGGAGCCAGTCAGAAGAAACCCCATGAACAGCTGAGAGGAGAACAAAGAGAATTTACTGTCCTTCCCTCATAGGACTACAGGGTACAGTGATAGGGTTCCGGTTCCACTAACCAAGCCAGTCGCTCACATAGTGGTTTAGCATAATGGCTATGTATGGAAACTGTGAGGTGTGGGGATGGGCAGAGGGTCCCAGATTCAATCCCTGACATCTACAGTTAAAGGATCTCTGGTAGCAAG